CTTCACAGGTACGTGGCCTTGGCAGCGGGGGCCGGGCGGGCCAGAGGCGGCTGGACGCATCCCCGGTGCCAGCGTGCCAGGCAAGGGCTGAGTCTGGCCCTAGTTGGTTTGGCTCAGTGGATGGAGTGTTGGCCTACAGACCCAAGAGTCCTGGGTTCGATTCCGGTCAAGGGCACGTACCTCAGTTGTAGGCTCCTCCCTGGCCCGGGCCCTGTTTAGGGCTCATGCAGAAGGCAACCAATTGGTGTGTTTTTCTCAGTCTTTCCCTCTCTCTTCCCCTCTCCCTAAAAATCAATGGGAAAATATCCTCACGTGAGGATTAAACCAAAAAAAAAAAAAAAAGAGCCGCGTCTGGTCTGCTCTCCACAGGCGGGACCAAGGACGACAAGGCTCCCAGCGAGTCCCTGCGCCTCATCCTGGTCGTGTTCCTGGGGGGCTGCACCTTCTCCGAGATCTCAGCCCTGCGGTTCCTGGGCAGAGAGAAAGGTGAGCGAGGACGGAAGGGTGACAGCCGGTCCACGGGCGGGCTCTGAGCTGCCAAGGGCAGCACTCGGGAAGGTCCTCTGCTGCCCTCTGGGTACCACTGGCTGTGGGCTGGAGAGCAGGTGCCTGGCTCCAGGGCGTGGCCAGTCGCTGTGCCCCGAGCGTGGCACCCACGTGTCTGCGCCTGTGAATTGGCTCTTGGATCCAGCCCGGGCTGTGGAGGGGCTCTAGGCAGCGGGGCCGGTGACGGGGGCCACCGATCTGCTCGTACTCACCTGGCTGGTGCTTTTGGCTCCTCAGGGTTCAGGTTCATTTTCCTGACGACAGCAGTCACCAACAGCGCTCGCCTCATGGAGGCCATGAGCGAGGTGAAAGCCTGAAGCTGCCCTGGACGCGCTCCCCAGGGGCTGCAGGAGGGGGCGCAGCCGCCGACTCCACGCCCCCCAACCCCCCAGCCACCCTGCTCCAGGCTGGGGAACCGGACTTGTTTGGGATTTAGGGGATACATCAGGGGAGGGAGTCACCCTGCCCGAGGATGTTTTCCTGTTTTGGTTATGAAGTACAGCCCATGCTGAGAAGACATGGAGGAGGAGGATCTTTTGCTACATCCTCTTTGAGTCTCATTGTAAATAAAGCCTCTACGTTCAATGTCACGTGTTTTCTGCTGGACCAGCCCTTCCATCTTTGCTCGTGAAGCACAGGGGGTTTCCTGGGGGGCTTCACGTACTCCATGGACTGGACCCTCATCCCTCTGGGCCTGCTCTGGGTCTTCCAGGAAACTCGCCCTGTTACTGGAGTTTCCAGAACCATAAAACAAGGAGGTGGATCAGATAAGTGATCAGTAAGCACCCTTCCATTTCTAAAATTCGATGACTCCTTATGCTTAAAAAAGTGTCTGTTGCCCTAGCTGGTGTTGCTCAGTGGATAGAGCGTCGGCCAGTGGACCTGAGGGGCCCGGGTTCGATTCCGGTCAAGGGCACATACCCCGGTTGCAGGCTCCTCCCTGGTCTGGGTCCTGGTTAGGCTCATGCAGGAGGCAACCAATCGATGTTTCTCTCACATCAATATTCCTCTCTGTCTTTCCTTCTCTCTTCCACTCCCTCTAAAAATCAATGGAAAAATATTCTTGGTGAGGATTTAAACAAAGTGTTTGTTTTAAATTAAGGAGGCAGTTTAGTTTTCAGCTTTTTTTTTTTTTTTTTTTTTAGTACCAAATGAAAGATTGTGTCCCCTGTTAGAGCAGTTTCGAGCGTCAGCAAATGGTGCTCCTAATTGCTGGTTCTAGTGGCCTTCCTCTCCCTTTACCTTTTAAAAGTTGTGAACTGTAACCACATCTATTAATGGCCTCTCAGTCCTCTACTAACTTGGTCTCATTGATCTGCTTTCCTTCTTGAAATTCTCTTTGTTTTTTTTTAATCCTCATCTGAGGATATTTTTCCATTGATTTTTAGAGAGAGTGGAAGGGAGAGGGAGAGACAGAGAGAGACAGTGATGTGAGAGAGACACATTTATTGGTTGCCTCCCTCATGACCCCGACCAGGGCCTGGACCAGGAAGGAGCCTGCAACCAAGGCATATGCCCTTGACGGGAATCAAACCTGGGACCCTTCAGTTCGCAGGCCGACGCTTTATCCACTGAGCCAAACCGGCTCGGGCTACACAGTGTTTTAGACATTGAGCATCTTCTCAGAGTGCCCGTCATCCAGTGAATCTATGACCTGGTTGGCTTCAGAACTACAGTGTAAAGGACATGATAGCAAAATTGTCTTATCTCTGCATCCTTACCATGCTGGCCTGGGAACATGTGTAAAGATCCCACATTTTTGAAATTTTCTGAAAAACTGGCAAATTAATCAACAAAGAATAGGATGAAATTTAAACGCAGTGCCTAAGGCAGTGGTTCTCAACCTTCTGGCCCTTTCAATACAGTTCCTCATGTTGTGACCCAACCATAAAATTATTTTCTTTGTTACTTCATAACTGTAATGTTGCTACTGTTATGAATCGTAATGTAAATATCTGATATGCAGGATGGTCTTAGGCGACCCCTGTGAAAGGGTCGTTCGACTGCCAAAGGGGTCGTGACCCACAGGTTGAGAACTGATGGCCTAAGGGCTACTGTATTAGTGGAGATAACTTGGGACACTGCTGATAAGTTAAAAGATATTGAAAGCACCAATGAAGTTGTTCTTCTTTATTTTATTTTATTTTATTTTTTATTTATTTTTTTAAAAATGTATTTTATTGATTTTTTACAGAGAGGAAGGGAGAGAGATAGAGAGTTAGAAACATCAATGAGAGAGAAACATTGATCAGCTGCCTCCTGCACATCTCCTACTGGGGATGTGCCCGCAACCCAGGTACATGCCCTTGGCCGGAATCGAACCCGGGACCCTTCAGTCTGCAGGCCGACGCTCTGTCCACTGAGCCAAACCGGTTTTGGCTTTATTTTATTTTTTTAATGAGAGAACATTTATTTGGAAAATCACAGAGGTAGAGGAAGTAATTCATAGAAAAATTGGGCTTTGGAAACAAGTCATAGAGGTAAAGGAAGGGCCCTTGGAGCTTAGAAGTGAGGAAGGTAAAGGCGCTGCACCTGGAGGTAGAGGAAGGGAAAGGCGCAGGCGTGACCCCAGAGGGAGAGTGGAGGTTCTTCTGAAAGGAAAATGGGGTCCTGAGTGCAGGCAAGCATCCATCCTTTACTTTTCCTTCATGGGAAGGGCAAAGGGAGATAGTTTCTAGAAGTTGCAGTTGACCAATACCCAGGGCGAAAAGGTGCAGTTTCAGTTGTAATTAAGCAAGTGTGAAGACGGAAATCCCACTTTCCCCATGAAACTAACAAAGAGGTTTAAAAGTACAGCAGTAGTCAGAGCTGCCCAGGGTAAGAGGAGGTGCTCTGCTGGTGAGGCTCGCTTGGTGGGCAGGGCAAATCCTATATAATAAAAGGCCAATATGCAAATTGTCCCCTGGGAAGTTCAACCAACCAGGAATTTGACTGCCCGCTGTGACTTGCGATGACCACCAGGGGGCAGAACAAAGGAAGGTCCCGGCTGGCAGCTGGGTAAAGGAAGGGACCCAGCCAGGCCTAGGGACCCTACCTGTGCATGAATTTCATGCACTGGGCCTCCAGTGAATAACTAAACCTCTCTGGAAAGGGAGTGTTCAGTAGTTACACTTGATGCAAAGATATATGTCTTAAGACATTTATTTGGCCCTAGCCGGTTTGGCTCAGTGGATAGAGCGTCAGCCTGGGAACTCAAGGGTCGGTTCAATTCTTCCGGTCAAGGGCATGTACCTTGGTTGAGGGCACATCCCCAGTAGGGGGTGTGCAGGAGGCAGCTGATCGATGTTTCTCTCTCATTGATGTTTCTGACTCTCTCTATCCTTCTCCCTTCCTCTCTGTAAAAAATCAATAAAATATATTTTTAAAAAAAGACATTTATTTGTAAAAATTGTGATTTAAGTATCCATCAATACAAAATAGTTAAATTATGAGATATCCACACACCAGGATATTGTGCAACCAAAAATCACTGAAAAAAAGTGATTGACAAACCTTTTTGAGACAGTTCCCTGGCTCTGTAAAATGGGGATCATATTCACTGAACGGAATTGTGGTAATTAAAGGGGATCACTGGTCTAGAAAGTTCCTGGGCCCAAGCAGGGTTCCCTACATCTGGGGAATATTGCCACCAAAGATCAGTTCCCAGGCTGACTGCTCAGATGAGCGAGGGAAGCAAGACACCGGGCCTTTCTAGCAACCTGCGCCCGCCACACCCAGCTGGTGTGGGCAGGGAAGCCTTTATGCACCGCACCTGGGAGGTCGGCTCGCTGCGCTCACTGCCCCTTCCAGGCAACTAAGTGCACTTGGAGTCAAACCTGCAAGGAGACCTGGTCGGCAGCTCAGTTGGTTAGAGCGTAGTCCCCATATGCCAGGGCATGGGTTGGATCTCTGTTTAGGGCACCCGCAAGAAGCAACCAATTAAGTGGAACAACAATCCACGTTTCTCATGCTCTCAATAAATAAAAATAAAAGACCGCCCTGGCCGGTGGCTCAGCTAGTTAGAGCTTGTATGGTACACCAAAAGGTTGTGGGTGGGTTCCATTCCCAGTTAGGGCACAGGCCTAGATTGCAGGTTTGATCCCCCGTCCGGTGCCCTATTGAGCTGTCTCTCTCCCTTCCTCTCTCTAAAAATCAATTTATTTTTAATTAAATCTTTATTGTTGAAAGTATTACATTTGTACCCTTTAAAAGTCAATTTAAAAAAACATATCCTGTGGTGAGGATTAAACAAAAAATTTTAAAAACAAAACCGCCCCAGGGAAGCGGCAGGGCGGGCTCCTCTTGCAGAGCGCCCCCAGTGGCCGAGCGAGGAAAGCGGTCCGCCCTCGGGCGTGGCCGAGCCCGCTGGAGGCGATCCCAGCCCCGAGTCCCGACAGCCGAAACTGAGCTCTCGCGACAGGGGGCGGGAAGTGGGTGGGGTTTCGCGAGGAGCGACAGGACGGACCACCAATCGCAGGTCTGCTCCGCCACGGTGCTTGGTTTGAAATCCCGCGGGTGCCCAACGGCTCGCGAAGTGGCAGATCCTGTGCGAGCCGGTGCTAGGGACTGGTTGCTGCGCTCGGTTCCCGGTGGAGTAGGTCGTGGGCCTCGCCGTCCGGTGACCGGGAGACTTCCATCATGAGGAGAAGGTGCGGGCTGTGGGGGAGCTGGGGACGCGGGAGGGGGGACGCCCGTCCCGGGTGCGG